CCGTGTCTGTATAATTTAATAATAAATAAAAACATTTATAGTCTTAATATCCTGCACAAAGCGCACAGTCAATCATTATTAGCCTGGATAACCGAAGCTGCCTGTGAGGCGCTAGAATGTTAATAGTCAGATGTTCCTTCCCACAGTCATTCACACTGCTTAAAACCAATACTCATGCATTGACAGATCACATCAAGATAAAACATAGAACCCTAACAGTTTATTACATTGCTGAGTTGCAATTATATAGATAACCGAAGATCGGTAAATAGAAATTGCTTTATTGATGCGTTGTCATCATCATCTGAATAATTTAAAGGAACAGTTGTTTGGTTAATTTGTGCAACTATTTTAACATGTCAGGGGTAATACGTTTTGATCTGTCGTTTATTCTGACAGATATTATGCAACATATATTATAAAGCGTGTAATGTGGAAACGGGGATGGATTTTGTTAAGTTTTATTTTGGCGCTTTTGTTTTCGCCAAGTGAATAGAAGTAGTTTCACTGAGATGTAATTTCAGTACGCGACGTCGTAGCCTTGTATGACGCCATGCTTTGTTTTAGTCAATACTGTTGTGAGTTTGTAGTGATTGTAAATCTCTGTAACGCTGGTAACATATCGAGCGCTGTATTAACCAGGTTTGTCAGAAACAATGAACGCAATGGTTGGAGAAGTTTCCTGATGTATGGCAGATCGATACAAGGGCGAGTCAAGGTGTTCAAGACAGTCTGAAACAAAATTAACGGTGGGATTCGAACAAATCTGACTGAGTAACTGGTCTATTCTGGTACCCGAAAAACTTATGTGGGTATTAGCTTTACAATTTCTTGGAGAAGCACCACGCTCTGTGTAACCGAGTTAGTACCTGCTAAAGTTGAAGTTTTGTTTCACCTTCAGTTCATCCAAACAAGTCAACATACACACACTGCTTAAAATTTTCCAATAACATCAGCTGCCCCAGCTTTTCGAACTCTTGACACACACCTTCTGGATACTGGCCCTTTTCGTTCCATAATGATTAGAGGTAACCTCAAATTGTTGATAATGTACAGACTTTTAAGCCTCGATAAAAAATGGAATAACTTTACCAAATGCCCTATTGGTTATTTCAAATGTGTTACTGCCTGAAAAAAGTAAAAACACATTGCCATCTTCATGTTCTTGAAACGGAGATAGTATCATATTTCTATTAAAATCATAATCTTTGTCATTTTTTAGACATTTTTTGTTCTGTTTTGCAATTCGCTCAGGTTTTACCTCAATTTCTAAAATTCTAATAATTTAAGCATTTTTGCCCTTTTTTCGCTTATCTTATGAATTTCCAGCTCAACTTTATTACCCCTCACTCCAACCCCTCCCCCTTGGAAATTAGATTTACCGCCTTCCTAATTCACATCTCTTTAATTTAGAAAAATCAACAACACCAAAGTTCATTCACTGAAATGTTTCTCATCAACCGATATATTCCATTTCTTAATTTCGCATTTCTCATAAGATGTTTAACCTTAACACCAAATTACTAAACTACAATTAACTATTTCGATATTTTCAAAACGACATATATTTCTCACTCATTAGGTCCAATGTCCACCTGACAAATGCACCGGAACATATTGGTACGTCATTTTTCTCAAGTAAAACGGGGAATCAGCCCGTAAAATACCTCGGTGTAAAACCAACAAATAACAAAGAAATATAATGTAATTAACAGTGTGTGAGTGGGTGAGTTTAGTTTTACACTGCACTCAGCAATTTTCCAACTATATGGCGGCGGTCTATATATAATCGAGTCTGGACCAGACAATCCAGTGATCAACAGCATGTCATCGATCTGCGCAACTTGGAACCAATGACATCCGTCGGCGAGCCTGACCACCCGATCCCGTTAGTCGCCTCTTACGACAAGCATGGGTTACGGAAGATCAATTTTCTAACCTGGATCTTCACCGGTCTTCTCAAAACGTATTAGGAGATGATGAACCATAAATATTAAAAGAAAAAGCAGCTCAGAGAAATGACGATAGAAAGTGTTTCGAAACCAGAAGCTAACGCCCCACCACATTGCGCGGACCATGCATTTCTTCCGTGCACGTAGGCCGGAGGCCATTGTTGATATTGACACGTCAGTGGTCGTCAATTCGGTCTGATCCATGTTGATTGTTTAATCCACAGTGACACGTGAACTTCTCTTGCTTTCATAAAGTATTTGTGATACATTTGCAATGCATCTTCTGCGATGTGACGAACGCCTAAGGGTTCTTGCCATGCACAAACTGAAAGAACTCTGTGGTAGGTAGCCAGTAGGTACCAATGTCTGGAACGTCATGGGAAGTTCACTTGAAGGCAACATCACAGATTTGAGGACGGGTCTATAACGTTATGGGACAGGATCAATATGACGCCAGTGCATATTGCCCATTGAAGGACAACATTCTGACGTCAATAGCTGTGCAGAGTGCGAGTCCTTTCAGCAAATTGTGTCCGTCATTGCTGACACCTTCCTCTGCAAAGAAACATCTCCAGAATGTCCAGCGGCTTGTCCTTTCTCTCCAACAGAGCTTGTCTGGGACAAAATCGGAAGTGGACACCCACAACACGTCCACAGCACCGTCAGCCGAATTTGGTGATTGAATCGGACACATCGTATAAAGGAATGTTTGGCGATTCGTGGCATCATAGTTATCATCTGATATTGATCATGGCATGTCATATGTTCAGTATTTTATCTACATACCGCTGTCGACTTTGTTGGTTGTCTGCAGCCTTACAATGCTGTTGATGGTCATGCTACACCTTGTCCTATCTTTCTCCCCGACCATCACTGCTCAGTTTTCCGTAACCGTCTTAAATTTTTCCAATTTCCTCTACCTTTGTCTGGAATATATGTGAATTTAAATTCTCAAGATAAAAGCAAGCATGGAGTTTTTACGGATGTTACCACTTTACCATTCAGACCAATGTAATTGTGATAATGTGTAAGATACCAACAAGGTTTCAACATGTCTAACATCATACTTGACAACCTTCATCATGTTTTAATGACAATTTAGAAAATACTACCTTGCCATTGCTCCAGAATCAGTCAACTTTCAACATTACCCTGGTGAATAATAGCAAGATTAATATGTGGTAGTTATTTTTGTATCGACAGTGGAGCTATCGTTAAATACAAATACACTCAACATCGAACGTAATGCTGTGCTATGTCCGTCACATAAGAATGAACGAGTATGGTTCTACGCAGCTTTTAGCAATATTTCAGCAATATCACGGCGGGGGACATAAGAAATGGGCTTCACTCATTGTATCCATGTGGGGAATGGAACCCGGGTCTTCAGTGAGACGAGCGGACACATTAAAGACTAGGCTACCCCACCGCCCCTGCTTATACTAGAACTACCTAGCTGATATCAGAATCAGTGCTCATGTAGGTTAGATTAACGTTTTATGGCAACAAAATCACAAGGATTTATCAACCGAGACGTTGACTCATTTTGGCAGTAACGTTTCATTAATTATGGTTGAGAGTTAAACAGTCATGTTACTCCTTGGATGGCCTTTGATGGGTGGGGCGATGGGGTAGCCTAGTGGTTAAAGCGTTCGCTCGTCACGCCGAAGACCCGGGTTCGATTCCCCACATGGGTACAATATGTGAAGCCCATTTCTGGTGTCCCCCTCCGTGACATTGCTGGAATATTGCTAAAAGCGACGTAAAACCATACTCACTCACTCTTTGATGGGTTCCACGTGATCCTCCTACACCACTGGCAGGTGATCATGCGTCATGAACTTATCGTTTCATTATCGAAAAGTTCTAGTTTTTCAATTCTATTTCCTCCACTTCAATAACTGTCTCTAATTTCATATTCTGGTCCTTTTAAACATCTGCAGCAATGAAACGGACACTTCAGAGCAGCCATGCTGCAATTTTTTCACCTTACATCAATGCATTTTTGTGTTTCCTTTTTCAAACATTCTGAAGAATAATTTTATTTTGCAAGCATCATCTCATATAACTAGGTCTTGTTTTCGAACAAATATCAACAAAGTTGTGTGTGGTTAATTTTGTTCCTGGTTTTAATGCAGTATATGTTTGTATCAGTTTGCTGGCAGTGGTGGACAGCGTCGCCATTGTTCTGAAACTCGTAGAGAACCAATCGCAGAACAGGAGACTCGCCATGGACGACAAACGTTGCCGGGGATTGTTTTTCTTGGTGCTTGTCCACTATATTTCTCTGATCTGCTAATTGTCGAATGCATTTGAAGAACTCTGAGGGTGTGGGTTCGAATCCCGGATGGGACTCAACACAAAAAATTGTACTTTACTAAGAAAGTGTAATCCCAAATATAACATATACATTTGAAGAATAGCTTATAAATAAAGGATATGAGCTCTGTAATACCACAGAATAACACATGCAAACACATTGTCATTGCAATGCAAAGTCCAAAAAGTTACAAGAATGCAGCAATCAAGTTTTATATCGCGTGTGATGCATAGACAACTCAGTAACGGAGTAAGGGTAATTGCTGAATATTTGTTTGTGAACTAGTTCATTTTATGATTCAGGACTCAACCTCTATTAAGAGGTCACTACATTGGAACCCATGGAATTAAAAGCATGCTATGCTTGTCTTGGGAGGCATTTGAACGGATGACGTGGTCAGACACCACATGATATTGCGTTCGTCGAGGGCGTGGGACATTACTGATTATATCAGTCCCTGGATTGTCCTGATAATAATTGGTTCTACCAATCAGTAAAAGACAGCGACCCTACACCCGGAATTCTTTTTACAAAATATGAACATTAAAATAAGTAAAATAAAAAATATGAACATTAAAATTAGTAAAAAAAACCAACAAAACATTTGTTTTGAATGAATGAATAAATAAAATGTTAAATGATCAAGTGACAAAAATACAACATTAAATAAGTTAAAAAATGTACACTTTTCTTCTGCATAATTTGTATCCATATATTTTATTTTTCAGATCATTGTGAATTAGCCACCCTCCCCTGTGTAAGATGACTGTTCAACACAATATATCCATGGCAGAAATAAACCTATCATTGTGTCAAGGCAACTCTACGTCGGAAGACTATGGCCATCTAATCAGAGTGTCCGACATCATAAAACAATTCTACATCTGGGTTGTCTTTGTCGTTGGTTTCCCTGGCAACATCATCAGCGCCATTGTGGTCACCAGGATGTGCCAGCAACGTCTGACAACGTCGTTGTTCTACGTCGGTTTGTTGGCAGTGGTGGACAACATCGCCATTGTTCTGAAACTCGTAGAGAACCAGTCCCAGAACAGGAGACTCGCCATGGACGATAGAAGTTGCCGAGGATTGTTCTTCTTGGGACTTGTCTTCTCTACGTACGCAAACTGGATACTTACTACCGTGGCAATGGAGAGATTCCTGGCGGTGAGGTACCCGTTCAAGATGGCGGTCATGTGGACCGTGAGGAAAGGTCTGGTGATTATTTCTTGTGTGTTTGTGTTGCTGTGTCTGATCCACCTGCATCTGTTTTGGACTGTCATTCACTACGAAGGATACACATGCACGCTGACATTAGAAGGTCCATCCTTTAAGGCCTGGTTCTATGTCGGGTCCTTCGTGTACGCCATCCTGCCGGCTTCCTGCCTCTTCATCTGCAACATCCTCATCATTATCTACGTCAGGAGGTCGGCCAACAATCGACGGACTCTGTCAGAGAACCACTCGACCACTGTTGCCACAAGAAGACTGGATGCACAGATCACAAAGATGTTGGTAATTGTTGCGGCAGTGTTTATACTTCTGTCGTTTCCAAGATGCATTTTCTTGGTTGCAAATGGCTACTGGAATCCAACTAGTTGTTCTATAGGTGAAGCGAGAAAATATTTCCTCGACGTCCTGACCACCAACATCGCCGACAGCAACCACGCCGTTAACTTCTATCTGTACTTCCTAGCTGGGAGGAGATTCAGACATGCCTATTCTTCTATCATCCGGGATATTTCGTTCAGAAAAAGAAGCGTGGAAAAAACCCCACCCCACACAGACAGCGAACTAAGGACGAGACAATAAAATGGCCCTTGCGGAGTGACAGAAAGATTTGTTATACTGCAAAGATATTTTTCATGTTTAGATTGATATTTTGCTTTACGAAGGTTCGGAATTCTGACATGATTGGGGCAGTGGGGTAGCCAAGTGGTGAAAGCGTTCGCCCGTCACACCGAAGATCCAGATTCGATTCTCCAATGCGTAAATTCCATTTCTGGTCCCCAATCCGTGATCTTGCTGGAATGTTACTAAAGGCGGCGTAAAACCATACTCCAATATGATCAAGAACACAGATACGGTGCTGCCCAATAACGCCGATTAAGCTCAACTATTGTCTAACAATGCATCAGTACGTGTTCCAAGATGACATGGGCTTGTTTATTTATAATTCCCCATTAAAATTTTAAAAAATCAGTGCTGACTGAAGTGGTTGAACTATTGAGGTTTTCTTAAAACCTAAAAAGTAATAATATTTGACGTATTATTCCTTTACACCAATGTTAAAAGTTAACTTAATGAATAATGCAGACCACCTGGATACAAAAGGGCCCTTGTCATTTATTGTCCTTTGAAGTGCTCTATTTGTGTTTATAAATTATTATAAAATAAAGTAATTACATGCTTTAATATTTATTTATTATGATTTGTCTTCAGCGAATGTATGGTAGGTTACATCGAGAAATGGGTTCACATTTCACACTGAACCGTTGTCCGGATTCGAACTCGGTCTGGCATAATCGGTAATTTGTACATTGAGAATGATACTTGTAGCAGCAGCAGCAGCAGCAGCAGCAGTAGTAGTAATAGAAATAGTAGTAGAAGTAGAAGAAGTAGAAGTAGTAGTAGTAGTAGTAGTAGTAGTAGTAGTAGTAGTAGAAGTAGAAGTAGCAGCAACAGCAGTAGTAGCAGTAGTAATAGTAATAGTAGTAGTAGTAGTAGTAGTAGTAGTAGTAGTAGTAGTAGTAGTAGTAGTAGTAGTAGTAGTACTAAGTGGTAACAGTAGTTATATGGTTTGAAGACAGACGTACGCACTGGTAGGCCCACAAGCACGAACAAGTGTAGGAAGTTTCTGGAACTGAAATAACACACATAAAGTGGTAACCAACTGTTGCAGAGATGAATCCCATGTTGCAGAGATGAAATCCCATGCTGCAAGGGTGAAATCCCATGCTGCAGAGATGAAATCCCATGTTGCAGAGATGAAATCCCATGTTACAAAGATGAAATCCCATGCTGCAGAGATGAAATCCATGTCACAGAGATGAATCCCATGTTGCAGAGATGAAATCCCAATGTTACAGAGATGAAATCCCATGTTGCAGAGATGAAATCCCATGTTACAGAGATAAATCCCATGTTGCAGAGATGAAATCCCATGTTACAGAGATGAAATCCCATGTTGCAGAGATGAAATCCCATGTTACAGAGATGAAATCCCATGTTGCAGAGATGAAATCCCATGTTGCAGAGGTGAAATCCCATGTTTAATTAAACTTACGTGACTTCGCTATATGATAACTTTATTAACATAAATGCCCTTGTTGTCAAGGAGGCCCTCAACGCAGCAGTACAACATATTAGTAGTACACAGCTTCTAATCAGACAAGTTATGGCAATCGACGATTACAATTCAGTTACAAAAACAGCACACCTGGCAAGAATTATAACAAATGAGAGTTATCTCCACTTGTCTTCTGACTACAGTTTAATGAAACTTACGTCACTTTGCTATATGTTACTCTATGAACATAAATGCCCTTCAATAGAGAGATAAACGGAAATACTTGTTGAACCAGTTGTCAATGATAAAACTCACAGACTACACAAATGTGGAGCATTGTATGGAACTGAATAACGGTAAAAGAATGTAACAAATGCAATACAATAGTCATAATGGATTGTGTTTGGAATGCCATCCACAAACTTGTTGCCTTTCATGTTTCACTTATGACATGATACTGTCAGTTATGGACCTGGTTGGCCTGGCATGCACATAGTGATCATAGAATACTGATTCTGTTTTCCAACGGCCAACTAGCATCACTTTCTTAGGATCTTCCCTGCTTTCTACCGCCTTTGTAGCCCCAGTGGACCTGAACTCTCTTGCAGAGTATCCCTCCTGTTTCAGACCTACTCTGTGCAAAGCCCCATCAAGTATTCGTGAAACCGTACAGGAGTCAATGGCCTTGTACGGACGGTTTAATGTCAGAAATACAGGTTCACCGGGAACACGTTCTCGTACACTTGTGCGATGTATGTACGCTTTTAATGTCCATCTGAATATCAGAGGCTGGCCGAATTGTCACGCGAAATCCAGATCGCTCAGCGTCATTCTTGATCCGATGAAATTCAATATCCATAGAGTCATCGCTATTAAAATGTACATTGTGAGCACTGAATACAGATTTAGATGAACTAAGCAAATGCGGATCAAAGTGAACACCCCGCGAGCAACATCCGATGGCCGTAACATGGCTGCCAGGGACAACAACACGAGTGCTTTCTCTCTCAGATCCTTCACTGGTATGTCTGCTGTATTTGGGAGACCATGATACAACTCTCGGAACCGGAAAACTGGAATGACCTTTGACTTTTGACGCACGTGTGTTGTGCTAGATTTTATCAGAGCACCCCTGTGCCTCACACCAAAAGGACACAGCTGCCAAGGCAGAACGAAGCTGAGAGGCTCGACGATCACTGGAGTCAGCCACGTGACACAGGAAATCAGCCAACTTGCAAGCAAATACTACTGGAAACGCCAATTGTTTGTCCAAACAAAACTGCTGCAGTTTTTGCACAAGTCGATTGTACAGAGCCAAAGTAGATGTAGCTAAACACTACTTGAATTGTTCCACAAGCCCTCGTCGACCAACCTTCCGACAACAATTTTGTCGTCCACAAAGTCTCCAGGCATACAACCCCCAGCGAGGATTTCTCAGTGGTTCCGGGGGCACTGTTGTGCGTAGGACAGTTGTCCGGCAGTTTGGTAGTGGTAATGGTGGGGCGACTAACATGCTTAGAAGAGTCTGGAACCAGACCTGACCTTTCCAGTAAGGAGCAATGACAGTTGCATGTGCCTCTTGAGACTGAATTACATTCATCATCTTTTCTAAAGTCTGAATGGAGGGTTGACATAGTTGTTCATTTGTCCCTAGTCTTGCTGGGCGAGCGCATCTACCCCTGTTGACAGTGGGTCGTGAAAACGACTGTTGAATACTGGTAGTTGTGCGTTTGTCATTGATGCAAAACGATCGACGTCGTGTGTACCATAGATAAAGTCTATCACCTGAAACCACCTGATTCAGCATCCCTTCGTATTGAGGATTCAGTCTTGAAAATCTGTCTGCCGATATATTTTGGACACCAGGCAGATATTTTGCGGTTAACGTGATGTCCAACTGAAAGGCTTTCCCCATATTCCCGTTACAACATTGATCAGATCTTGGCATGACCCACCAAGGTGATTTACAAATGCCACAGTTGTAACGTTGTCCGACAACAACTGCACATGCTTTCCTCGCATTTCCAGTCCAAACGATTCTAAAGCCATGCGTACTTTCAATAGCTTCGAAAGTTTGAGGACATGTACGAAATATGGGGGTTCCAAAACCCTTGTGCCACTTTGTTCTCGAGTACTGAACCCCATCCTGTGTGACTGGCATCTGTATAAAGCTGGGTCTGAATGACCTTTGGTATAGGTGTTACGCCATTCCACTGGCCTATAGAATGTATCCACCATTCTAAATCTCTTCCAGCTTCAGAAGTCAAACAAAGCATGTCCTCCCACGACGTTCTTGAAGCTAGCACACGATACACACTCCGCAGCATCAATTTGCCAGGCACCACTGCTTTAGTTAAACTTATACAAAGACCAGCTACACGTGCAAGAGCTCTCGCCGAGATTTGTGTTTTTTTCAAGGCTCTGTTCAAATCATGTTTTAGTTTCTGCAGTTTATATTGTGGCACATGTAACGTGGGAGTGCCGCCAGTACCACAAGAGTTAATATCAAAACCTAACATGTGTAGTTGAGGTCAGATTAGACTTCTCAGCATTTAGCTGCCATCCCAGAGAACCAAGTGTCTCCACAACAAAATTCTTATGGTTCCAAATGTCTTCTGGAGTAGCTGACAACAGACCATCGTCTACATAACTGGCTAAGCGGTAACCCTGTGACCTAAAACATGTAACCACAGAACGAGTAATTTAATGAAAAAACACTGGACTTACGCTCAGTCCAACAGTAACACTGTCCATTTATAATATTGACCTCTCCAGCATATTACAAGATACGACTGTAGAGATGCATGAACGCCTACATGTACATGATGGAAGCCATTCTGTAAGGTCCCAGGTTACCATATGGTCTCTCCAGCATATTACTAGATACGACTGTAGAGATGCATGAATGCCTACATGTACATGGTGGAAGCCATTCTGTAGGTCCCAGGTTACCATATGGTCTCGCCAGCATATTACAAGATACGACTGTAGAGATGCATGAACGCCTACATGTACATGGTGGAAGCCATTCTGTAGGTCCCAGGTTACCATATGGTCTCTCCAGCATATTCCAAGATACGACTGTAGACATGCATGAACGCCTACATGTACATGGTGGAAGCCATTCTGTAGGTCTCAGGTTACCATATGGTCTCTCCAGCATATTACAAGATACGACTGTAGAGATGCATGAAAGCCTACATGTACATGGTGGAAGCCATTCTGTAGGTCCCAGGTTACCATATGGTCTCTCCAGCATATTCCAAGATACGACTGTAGAGATGCATGAATGCCTACATGTACATGATGGAAGCCATTCTGTAGGTCCCAGGTTACCATATGGTCTCTCCAGCATATTCCAAGATACGACTGTAGACATGCATGAATGCCTACATGTACATGGTGGAAGCCATTCTGTAGGTCCCAGGTTACCATATGGTCTCTCCAGCATATTCCAAGATACGACTGTAGAGATGCATGAATGCCTACATGTACATGATGGAAGCCATTCTGTAGGTCCCAGGTTACCATATGGTCTCTCCAGCATATTCCAAGATACGACTGTAGACATGCATGAACGCCTACATGTACATGGTGGAAGCCATTCTGTAGGTCCCAGGTTACCATATGGTCTCTCCAGCATATTCCAAGATACGACTGTAGACATGCATGAAAGCCTACATGTACATGATGGAAGCCAGTCTGTAAGGTCCCAGGTTACCATATGGTCTCTCCAGCATATTCCAAGATACGACTGTAGACATGCATGAAAGCCTACATGTACATGATGGAAGCCAGTCTGTAAGGTCCCAGGTTACCATATGGTCTCTCCAGCATATTCCAAGACACGACTGTAGACATGCATGAATGCCTACATGTACATGATGGAAGCCATTCTGTAGGTCCCAGGTTACCATATGATCACCCTGGCGAACAATGCTACTGGGAGCTGAGACATCTTCATATCTAAATGATGGAGTGGTTATGTGTCCATTTAGTCTACGAAAATCAATTATCAGTCTCCATTTATTCTTCGTTTTGCGTACACAGCCAATAGGAGACACACAATAGGGAGCAGTCTTTGATCTCACAAAAGCACCAGATTGAACTAATTTAGTT